TAATACTCTAGAATTACTGTAAGTCTGATATTCTTAATAAGGAGAACAAGACCAGACATAGCATACACAGTTAGTAAACCGAGTAGATACACGAGTAATCCAGGAGCTGACCACTGGAAATAAATAGTAAGAGTACTAAGGTACTTAACATATACTCGTAATTTTAGACTGCACTATACCAGATATCCAGTAGTCATTAAAGGAAATAGTTATGCAAATTGGATATCTGATATATAAAATACTCCAAATCCACTAGTGGATTTATGTTCACATTGGGAGGTGCAGCTATATCTTGGAAATCCTCTAAACAAATCGTTATAGCTAGATCTACCATGAAATATATGTTTATAGCTTTAGATAAATGTGGTGAAGAGATTGAGTGGTTACTCAATTTCTCAGATGATATTTCAAGATGGCCGAAACCTATGCCAGCAATTTGCATATATTGTGACAGTCAATCAAAACTTGGAAGGGTACAGAGTAACATGTATAATGGTAAGTCTAGACATATACGTCGTAGACACAATACTCTCAACTTAAGTTATCATTATTGACCATGTAAGGTCAAATAATAACATTACGGATCCACTAACCAAGAGTTAAATAGAGAGTTAGTTGGGAAATCATTGAAAGCAATGAGACTTAAGCCCTTGAACCGATAAGTTAATACAAAGAAAACTCAACCTAGTTGACTAGAGATCCCAAGATCTAGGTTCAAATGGACAACTTAATTGTAAAGACTTAATTAAATCACTGTGGGGGGAATGATGCCTCTTGTCTATTCCTATGATGCAACAGTAATGCCCATAAGGATGAATGATAAGCAACATGCTTTTAATTGTTCTTATGCATTGAAAATCGAGCCAAATAATGTGGGTTACTTGTAATAAGAAATCACCTATGTAAGAGAGAAGTGGGGCCGTTTCTAAGAGAATTGTGTGGGGCTCAATTCTTAAGAACTCTCGCAGAACCAAGTATATGTTCATGGCAAAAAACGAACA